TCAGCCATGATTTCATAGTTATTTTTGTTCCCTTTCTTAAATCTCAATAGTTTATTGAAAAACATCAATAAATAAATAATAGAGAAATAATAATGGCAATAGTTACAATAGGAAATATATACACATACATACACATCAATGACGTATGTACACAACACCTAGGTATAATACACAGAACAATTAAGTGACTAAATCATCTGGTGTGTATTCTTACAATTAAAATATAAAAATAGGTTACATCTGCCATTGTCTTTGTTTTCTCCCATGTTTTTGAAATAAGTTATTAGAAAAAAATATGCTGAGAACCTTTTTAACATCCTGTTGACTGACAGAATTAGATGGATAAATGCAAAAGACAAAAAATCTGTTACATTGGTATGGTAACGTTTTTGAAGACTTAAAAGCAGTTGTAAAACCTTGTAAAAAATTTAAGGTTTGAGGATGTGTAGTTTTTGTTTGAAGACCAGTATGCCTGAAATGTCACCTATGTATTGGTCTTACACATAGGGTTGGGTTCTGATAGCTACACCATTTTTACCATTCAGTTCAAAGTGAATAAAATACAAAGGAGTGGTTAATCCCTAAATCCAACAAGCCTATTAAAAAATTCTATTCAGTCTATTGAATGATTTATCTTTTACTTTTTCTTTCTTTTTTTTGGCACAAAGCTGTGTTTTTAAGTACAAAACATGCAGATAGTCACATAGCAAATATGTTTTCCATCGGGTCAAATTTGAGTTTTGTATTTGACTGTCTTTATAGTTTTAGTTCTTAAATTATTTGAATACTTTTACCTCCTCAAATTTTAGTCCTTAAATATAATATTTCAGGCATAAAATATGATGCTACTTTGAAATTATGTCACACAGCTTAATCTAAATAAATTTGAGAAGGGATATGAAAGTTTGAAAGTCAGATTTCATGAGCAGATTGTACACTGGATTCAGATTTGATAGTGCCATCGAACCTCAACCCCAGTTACACGCTCCTTTGGAGCGTTTTACAGCACGCAGGACATTCTCTTTTAGCTTCCTGTCAAACTACCACAGTAACCAGTAATCTCCCACCTGCCTTCGGTGACGTGACATATCCCAGCTGGTGCTTTTGGCAGAGGATAAACGGAGAGCTTTGAGAATTCTGTCCCACAGTGAAGCAAGTGATTCAAAAGGGACTTTGACTCCCAATATCCGACTTCATCTCTCTGGCAGAGGAAAGACACAAACATGACAGAAAATGTCTCAAGCTCAACTAGTGGAAAATTGGAAGTGGTCTGCAGTTTAGTGTGGCCGACAGATATTGGCAGAGCAAATAATGAAGGCTGTGATTGAGATTGTTCTTTTGAAGCAGAGCCATGAAGGCTGCCAGAGACCTAAATATACTGTCTCACTTTTGAAGATAAAAGCTGTTAGTTTTGGAATTTTCTGACATGTAATCCTTAAGTTAGATAGACACCACTTTTGATAGCATTTGTGGCTTTATTTTGTGTTTATTTAGTCTTTTTAATGTATTTGCTCTTATCAGTGGCTTAAAGACCAACTTGGGGAACAGCCAGGCAGTATAGCTGAAATCCTGACTGCCCAAGATTAAATGTAGTTTATTCAATTCAGTCGGTAAATCGGTGGAAACGAGGTGGCCTGGCAGCTTATTGAAGTGGACTGTCAACAAAATATGTGTTATGTAGTAAGATGTGGATTTATACAGTCTCCAGCATCCAGAGCCTCCACAGCTCTAGCTGGCCATAATGCAGCACTTTCTGAATCTCAGGGTTTTCTCTTTGCTTTAGCCTGGCCATTCACATGAATGATGGGCGAGTCGCTCCACACCTGCCTGGCTCTTTCTTCTGTAGCGAGATGTGGGTCTCTCTCTCTCTCTCTCTCTCTCTCTCTCTCTCTCTCTCTCTCTCTCTCTCTCTCTCTCTCTCTCTCTCAGTCACATCCACATACACACAGACACTGATAAAGGTTAAGAGGAGCAGTGTAAATGTGGAGCAGTGTTGCCCTATTTTAGTGGTTATGGATGAAGTGATGGGGTCTGGTTCATCTGACTCCACTGTATCATGTATTCACTGCATGCTACTCCACGTCCAACAAGCTTTTATTGATTAGCATTCCATTTCTGCTGTGCAGTAGATGCTAAGGGATTTGGCAAAGCACAGTACCACTGCTAATCCCACATTAAATGTATAATCCTTGAGATTTCAGGCCTGGTTGATTTGGTGACATCTGTGGATACTGGTCATGACATCAAGTGAGGTTTTATACTACAGGTCCCACAATTCTGGGGGCGGGAGCAGTTATTTTGTCAGAAATACAACAGAAAAGCAACTGGTATATCTTACATAGCAGCCAAACAAACTGTTGTAAAGATGTCCATCAATAATTGGACTTTTCCATCATGCTGTGATTTCATGCTGCACACAGCACATGTAATTTTGCACACAATAGTTGGGCATGGTGGAGTTCGTTATATTGCTGAGGAGTTTCCTGCAGCTCCTAATGTAACCATTCCATTCCTCCTTGCAATTTTTAAAATGTTTCAGTGGTTGGATGCTTTTTTTGTGAACTAGCAATGAAAATGTTCATTTTAGTGGTAGCTTGATGCAGCTCTGACTTGGCAGTAACAGTATTTCAATGAGATAAAATTATGAATATGAATGCAGCTTGGGAAATGTTAAGTCCACCACTAATAGTGAGAACTACTTAAAAGAATGGCAATTACAGAACACTGAAATGCTAGTACTGAAAAATTAAAATAAAAAAACTAAAGATTAGACCCCCAAAAAAAAAAAAAAAACCCACCCCCATTTATCTATAAGTACTAAAAAAACTTTACAGAAGTAAATCTCTGTTGTTTGAAAAGACACATTCATTACATTTATTCACATTCTCCTCTGTTCTCTTGGTTGTAAACTGCAGCTATTTCTGATTAAATCCTGCACCATGGCGATAAAAGAGCAGATGTTAATCATACAGTATGTTGACTGGTGTATGTCCTCTATAATTAGCTGTTGGCGGCTGCAACCTGTGGTGTCAGGCCATGCAAATATGCCCGTGAGCACATCACTATTCTAATTGGCATCGCAGCTCTCAAATGTTCCCTGTGTGAAACTCCCACTCTCCACTGCTGCTGAGCTGCTGACGAAAGGGGAAGGTGGGGGAAGCAAAGACAGAAAGGTTGGGGGAGACAAAATAGAGTATAATCACATGACCTCTACATTCTCTACTGCAGTGACAGCTCGCCAAGCAGGTGGAAAATCTGACAGCTATAGCATAAACAGCAATGAAGCACTTCAGTTCTTACATATAATTTTATCTATTGTATATATCTGTATGTTTCTGTGTTACTGGCAAATCTTCCTCTAGGATTAAATCAGCATTAATAAGCAAAAAACTATTAAAAATATAAATCAATACAAATTAAAAAAGGCCTAGAAAATGTATGTACACAAACCAGATCTATAATTATTATGTTTGACATTGCTTTTCTCCTTAATAAGCATTTATTGGACACAGAAAAGACACTGACTGTAACTCAAACATTTATTTAGAGGTTTTTAATATTAAAATTACATGCATGCAACATTTAAATCTGAATTCAACTGCAACAAATCTTTTGTGACAACTTGAAGCCAGTACCCTACAGTACACATGCAGCAAAATCATATGGACAGGAAGGAATCCCAGTGGAGCCCATATTCTTGCCATGCCACCTGTCAAATGTCATATAATATTGACAGGGATTGTGGTCATGATTTCATGATTTAATCTCCCCTGTCTTGAGAAAAATATTTTAGCTCCACTTTGTGTTGGACATGTATCTCATGGGAGTAGGCCATGGCTTTGTAGGACGGTTGGTAGAAGCCATTAGAAGTCAGGTAAATAAAAACCAAAAGCTTACAAAACCTTTGAAAACTGCAGAACACAGGGATTAGCAGAATTAGGTATTTCTTCACATTACAGAGAATCATTTCACTCAGTTTTAATAACGAAAGTGAGCATAAAAGCATAAAAATGACTGTGATGTACAGTTACAGTATATACAGGGGATTGGTCATATATAAAGACCAATCACCTTCCCAGCCAATGGCCTTTCTGGCTCACAAATAACACCTATTGTCTTTTAATTTGGTTTGGAAACAACCCCCACCACTAATAAGAAGATATATTATTTTGCATGAAGATTTATTTTCTCTTCACTTTGACTCCTCATGACTTTTACTATGAAGTACAGTAAAGCCTACCGTATTGCTGAAGTCATTGTTGCAGGTTCAGGTCAAACATAGTCAGGGTGCTGCTATTTGCTTGTCGACTTACTAGAAACGCTCTGCTAAACTAAATGGAACGGAACCTTAATTAGTATCGTTGATAACCATGTTTACCCTACTATTTCATGTCAAAATGGCTGCTGTGAGAAAGGTCTGTTCATCTGAGATCAAAACATGTAATGTCCTTTGAATGAAACTTAAGAGATGAATTAGCTTGCTACTCTGGATGTGTGTCTCTGTATGTGCTCCTAGCATGAGGAGGAGGAGGAGGATGAGGAGGAGAAATCCTGACAAATTGTTCTCTGACATCCTCACAGAGGCCCATCGGAGGCATCGTTAAGCCCACCTCAGTGCAGGAAAAAATGGTGCTGAATGACGCTGAGGATGTTTGCCTTGATAATGCCAAAGCCTGTTTGTGTCTGTGTCAGGAGTCGGGCAGTTAATCCAGCCTACATCCCGGGTCCAGATATCAATACCGTGTTAGAGAGCCGTGGGGCGAGACTGGCTGTCATGCTTGAGGAGAGGAGCCTCTGCTCTACACTCTCTGCTTCTCATGAAGGGAAAGGGTTGGGAGAGAGGGTGGGAGGGAGTGGACATGCACATGGTCTGCTGGATTTACTCTGGTATTCAGCTGTATTGGATCAGTGTTCCTGCCAGACCAGGACAAAAAGAGAAGCGTGTTTGGGACTGTGTCGTTATCATAACCAAACATTCTCTTCTGATTTGTTGTTGGCAGGATTTATGAGCGGGTGATAGACCCCCCTCAGATGGAGCTCACCCCAGGCAGTGGAGTGTGGCTCGGCCAGCACAGCCACAAGCATGGCCTGTTCAAGGTAAGACTTCACAGATGATGCACACACACACACACACACACACACACACACACACACACACACACACACACACTCTTCCTTCATGCACCTGAATGTGCTTCACATTCAAGATCAATTGGTATAATTGGCCAGATTTGCAGTAGGCTGTGTGGGGGGTGGGGAGAGACAAGTGGAAGATGCAGGAAAGAAGTACAGTGGGCTCACAAAGGAGATGCAAAAAGGCTCAGCGTGTGCTTTGAAACGCTTATTCCCAAGCCCATTACAATGCTGTCGATTTTTAATCACTGCTCATTTTCTTGGGCTCCTGCATGCACTCACAGCAGGGAGGGGACATGCGGAGTCTCACCAGGACATGCTCACGCGCTTGATATTCCCACCTCTTCTGCCCACCCAACATGCAATCAATAGGCCTTTTATTTTTTCTATGTAACATTGATTGGCCACCAGAATCTACTGCGGTGTAAATTATTTCTCCTCCCCGTACTTTGACACTATTGCTGCTGCACACCAGCCAACTGTTCCTCCTCCCTCTGCCCCCCCACCCCCCCCTTCATCCCCTCTTGCATCAAGGCTTCAAGGACCTCCTTCTTCTACAGGATAGCTCTAGTCTTGAAAGACGCAGCTCCATCATCCAGTTCCCTACACGCAGTTGTCTGAGTGCTCGGCATTTGTCTACCCTCCATGTGCAGGGAGCGCCCAAAAGTGTTTGTCTGCAGAAGAGACAGATGGTGTGGAGACGCACAAGCCTGTGTGAAGTGATAGAGGGAATGAGGAGATTCTCCCTTAAGGTTTACACTATGATGAGTTGGCATGTCGGCTGACAGGTGTACTTGTAACACCTTGAATCAAGGACCTGTTGTTCATGGTATCAGAAGGGCCATTTAGAGTCACCTAATTATCTTCTTCTACACATGCATATTTATGAGCCAGCAACTATATTAGTTCACACACAGATTTAGTTTGTAGTTTCTTTTTTCTTGCTACAGAGAGAGAATAACAGCTGAATATACAGTACCACCGAGGAGAACAGGAAAGAGGTTGGAAAAACTTTCTGATTGTAGCAGGGTCATAGGAAATACTGCTTTAAATTTGTTTTTGTCAAAACTGCAATTGGGAACACTTTAAACTTCCCGATTAACCGTTAACACTGCATTGGCAACATTAAAACTGCTGATTCTAGACAATATTTGAAACAATTCAAGTTTTTTAAAAACAGAAATAAGGCAGGTTTTTACTCAAATCTTCAAGCCATGAAACTACAAATAAATTCAATTCCTATTCGCTTCTATCTCAGCGTTCTGCTTAATGGTCAGTGAGCAGTAGTCTGTGGAGTCTCTGTTCACCGTGCAGCTGACTCAGCTAACATGTTTTGTTCATGTCTCATGTCTAATTTAATATATGGCAAAATGTTTCCAAGGAATAGACATTTAGTTATAGCTTATTCCTGGTGTGCTTTTCTACCCAGATTTGAATAGATGAAATTAGTACTACTAAGTTTCCTACTTGAACACAGACAGGCCACAGTCCGCCCATAACTTCAGGTTACATACATTTCAGCTTGAGGCTGGTGCCTGACTACTTTAAGAAAAGAAGAGAAAGTTTGACAAAAACTCTTTGTTTATTTTTGTCATTTTAATAAGCTTGACTTAGCTTAAAGACTGGCCCAGTCGCATTTCGTAAGATAACTAATCAACACCTTGTATCTCAAGTTGTGGTTTAACAGAGAATTATGTACTGTAATTATGTAACACTGGTCAGATGTATTGTGCAGGGGCCTTAAGAAACACACACACACACACACACACACACACACACACACACACACACACACACACACACACACACACACACACACACACACACACACACACACACACACACACAGAGACACAAACTGAGACAGACAGACAGAGACAAAACATATTGTCCCACTACTTCCACTACTTCTTTACTATTGCCTTCACACTTTCTTACCTGCTCCCTACTTTAACCTGTTAAAGACAAGGGGATAAACAGAGACTACTTACGTTTTCTCATGTCAAAAGCAGAGAAGGCTGATGAGCTTGTTGGGAAATAAGAGAAAAGAACAAAAAAGCAAGAGGCGAAGAGAAGGGAAAAGCCAAGAGCTATAGAAGTAACACTGCAAATGGAGATAGGAGGTGAAATAAAGCAGCAGCTGTAATCTATCCCATTCAGGACTCAGGAGTGGGATAATGATAAGGCGAGCTAACTATGCCTTTAAATAAAACATATTGAGCCCTTGCAGTGGCTTGAGACACTGCTCGTCCTCGTGCCGCCTCCTCATGGGAACCTCTCCATCTGAAAGAGCAACTGTAATAAATTATCTTTATCTAGAATCCATTGTGCCAAGGACGCTGACTCCTCAGGGACACTGCAGGCTCGTTTGGAACCGGTGCTTTTTTAAAAACACTTGGTGTTGTATGCACCAGGATACGGTAATGAATCTAACATGGACAATGATGGAAAGCTTGAACAAGGCAGCATGATGAAGGAAAAGCCAAACCTGTACATGAAAGATTGAGAGCTTAGATGTGTCACACAGTCTGTCTTTTGATTTCCCTGTTCCTGCCTATGTCTCCTCTGTTTCCTGGTTGTTTAAATTTGTTTGTTTATGCTTTGTTCACGTCTTTCTCCTTTTCATTTCAACATTGTACCGTCGACAGCATCATTTTTTTCCTCCATACCTGATGTGCTCACTCTGTTCAAGCCTGTATCAGTGATAATACAGTACAGTCTGGGGTTAATAAACCTTATACCTCCTAAAAGTAGAATGGGCAAAAGAAAACTTTTGGATGAACTGAAAAAAATCTGCATATTATGGAATAAATTTAAACTTCTTTATGAAGAGCTACACTTTAAAAATGCTGCGTATTTTTCCTATTGATGCTGTGAGGCTCCTTACTCTTGACTAACGGGGTATATTAACCACTGAATTTAAATTCTACTGACACAGAGTTGAAGGCTTAAGGATTGGGACTGAATAGTTTATATGAATGTACAAATTTGTACTTTAGAATGTATTAGTTGTTTGTATTTGGATTGCTTTGTTGATCCGTTTTCGAAGTTTCGAAGAGTTTTTATGTACAATTTGATGACCAATTACCCTGACATTTGCAGATAAAATGCACAGCACTGTAATTGACTTTAATTTAAAATATAAAAGGATAGAATATCATATTCAAAGGTATGTATTCATTACTGTATAATCACCTAGAAATTGGAATAGTTGTATTTTTGTTACCTTAAAATTAGCTGTTTTTATCCACAGAGGGAGTGAGTCCTCTTTTACGGAGTCCGCCATGTTGAACTGACATGTTTCTACAGTAGCACAGAACAGACAGACCAAACATTGACTCTAGATGCGTTTTTCATGAGTTTCACAGCCACCATAGTTTCTTCTCCACGCCTGGTTGTGTCAAGGGTTTTCAGTTGATTGCAATCTGTATGTGTCACTGTATTGTTGTGACTAACCCGTTACAGCTAACCTAAAAACAAAATGTGTAGGAAATTCAAGTGAAATTCAGCGAAGGTTCAACATCTCAACTTGTTGTTTATGGTGCCCATGAGTCCCTAATGTCTGCATGTAGAGTTAAACTCGTTCTTTGCTGTCACTTCAGTCAATTTTAAAATCCATCACCAGCACAGAGGTTTAAAAACTATGTTGGACACAAGCAGAGCGAAATCATTGCTGTCCATCAAAACGGTGTGTATTGCTTGCAATTTGTTTGTCTCTGTCAAGCGAAGCATGAAGATGTGAATAAGTTAATTCTTAGGGGAAATCCTTGTCATCATCTTAATAATGATCTCTCTTTCTCTCCCTCTGTTCACCTGCATTTCCTCTCTCTTCTCACACTTGTAAATTAGTTTTGCTGATGCTGGTTTAGTCGTGGGAGATGAACTGCAGGTGGAGGTTAAGTCTTTAGACCCTGCTAGAACAAGGAAAGGTCATGTTGTGCATGATCAATTTGAGAAAAAAGAACACAGGATAAAGCTTTACCCAGGATAATAAACCTCTGTCAATGTTGCCTGAGGGTGAAGTGCTGGCCAAACATTGCTGGCCTATTATTGCTATAATAACAAGCTAACTGGGAATTATGACTAAAAGAGAGCAGACAAACAAAGTGAAAGTAATTTTATCAGCAATAACGGTGAGTGAACTTGTGAACATTTGGGGACACAAAGAAACAAATGATGCATAAACAGCACATAAGCACAGACCTCAGTATCCCTCACTGGCTGTATTAATTCCCTTTTTCCCAGTATAACTCAAGTCATAGCCCAAGCCCGAGTCATAGCCCAGCCATAAACCAACAAATCTTAAATTAGCGCTGTCAACCTTTTGCGTATTTTGAAGACATCTGTCTCTCATACAATTGCAGGAAAGCACACATGCTTTTTGTTTTGCATTTAGTAAAGACATACAGTGCCATCTGTAAGTATTTGAACAGTGACACATTTTTAATTGCTTTGTGTCTGTACTCCAGCACACTGGCTTTGAAATGAAACAGTGATGTTAAAGTGCTGACTTTAGGCTTTACTTTGGATGTGTCCACATCCACATCAGCTGAACAGTCTCCACCAACCCCTGAGAAAACTGTGTGACTTTGTAACTGTTAGCTTATTCATCTAGTCACTAAGTTTGTCTTTTCGCCACCTACAGCAAAAACCAAAACTATGAGTTAAAAGAGGCTTAAAAATCTCCCCATGGCTGCAGAGTTGGTGATAATTCTCTATGGATTCATCACTTTTAGCAGCCCCTTTATATTATATTTTGTACTTTAAGTCATTCTTATTCTAAAAACATTGGTTAGTGCAGCTTTAAGGGTCCAGTGTGTAGGATCTAGTGGCATGTAGTGGTTGCTGATTGCAACATCGTAAACTCACCCTTCAGTTCAAAGCTTGTAGCAGAAATTACACTGGCCTTGAAAATGTCTGCCTATGAAAGTCAGCACCTATACCCCATTTATTTCAAATCAATATGCTTTTGTACGCGGACAAAACTATAGAAAATGTGTCACTGCTCCAACTGTACTGTATGCGACTTGAAATGCAGCTGTGTAATTGGACTCGTCTTGCCATAGGGGCATGGACATTTTTCCTGAATAGTGCTATTCTTACATATCTGCCATAGGCTTTGGCAGAGGAATGAAACAAGTGTGTGCCTGTGTGTATGTGTGTCAGAGAGAGAGAGAGAGAGAGAGAGAGAGAGAGAGAGAGAGATATTTATGACTTCAGTTCGAATTACCTGCTGATCATTGACAGTGATGTGTGGTCAGGACCCCTATATTACACCACCGGGACAGACATCTGTGATCTACACCTTCATTTTCATTCTGAGTGACACTGACAATCTCTTCTTCACCATCCACTCCTCACACAGCCTCTCTCTCTCTCTCTGTGTGTGTGTGTGTGTGTGTGTGTGTGTGTGTGTGTGTGTGTGTGAGACACTGTGTTTGTTCTCAATCTGTGCTGCAAGCCTGTTCGCCTCAAGGTTCCCTCTCTCCATGTCTTTGTGTGAAATGGAGGCAGGTGTTGCTTACATCCAGGCTAGCCAAATGCACTGTAAATGGATTTCACATACACATAAAGCAGAGACGACTTGATGCCAACTCTGCTTGAGGTGGTGAATTCTAATGTCCTTCCAGCATGTTTTCAGTAGCCACTTTGAAGGAATGGTAAAATTATATTACCCCCACGTGTGTGCGTGCGTGTGTGTGTGCACATCCCAGTGTTTTACAAGTTCGGTTTTCCATTAGAGAGGGTGCCTTTTTTTTCCAAGATTGTTCTCTGTGGTCATCATGAAGCCCTCTATTTACCAGCCCTGCACCTCTGGAGATAGCCTGTCATTCAGAGTGACTGACAGACGGAGAGAACCCTATGGGTTAGAGGCCATTTTCTGCCTATGTGTGAAGTACATTTACGTCAATTCAGTTTTGAAATGGATACTGTATGCAAAGTACAGGAATATTTTTTTTTATTTTTCTAAACATTTGCTGTGGGGTTTTTTCACCATTTCTAAAAAAACATGCTTTCTCAAACCTATTGTAAAATGAATTGCTGTCCTGGCCAAGAGAGAAGCCTTTCCATAAAAATTAGACCAAACCTACATTTTGGTGCAGACTTTTGTTTGTGTGTAGTTTAATTTAGATCTTGGTCCAGATCCAATAATATTCTAGTATTATTTGGTGTTAATTTTCCAGGTTTTGAAATATCCGTCTCTCATTGCTCGTAAATTGCTATGCCAATCACAGTGACGCATGACTGTTGTCTGATGCAGAGCAGCATGATGTGAACACACAGCACCACAAGTCTGCAGCCAGAGGCAGATGAATAGGATTATTTTTACATTCAGGTAATGATAATAGAAATATTAAAAATAGTTCAATATCAATTAATCCAATGGCATTTCAGTCAAATTCTACTGTATTTCACATTGGGAATGGTTATATCATATCTTAAAATGTGACACAACAGCGTAATGCATTTCAAGGATAAAATATGAACCACTGATTTTTTTGTGAGGAAAGGAGGCTGTGACTCACAGGATTAATGAGCGCAGAGCCTCTGAGCTTTGATGCCAGGTTAAACGCATATACTGGTTTGAGAGTGTTTAATTAAAATAGTTTATTTTGATCATGACAAAATCACCTAAGTGGCAGCTGAGCTATCTGTTCTCAGCTGAACATCTAAGACATATTTTCTACCAAAATACCAAAAGCACACTTTGCACTGCCTAATTTGAATGAACCTGTTTGTTTGACTCCTCCCAACTGCATTGCACCTTAGCCTTTGCACTGGGCACCACACAGGCAAAGCAAGGGGCTACAAAAAGTCTCCAAAGAGACAACCCATAATCTTGCCAATCCATGTGTATCATTATCTTTTTCTGTCTTTTCTCTGCACCCCTCCCTCTGTGTTGCCAGGGCATTATCCAGGATGTGAAGTTGATTTTCGCTCCCAACGGCTACATTACACAGTGTCCTAACCTCAACCGCAGTAAGTATCATGATGGCCCAGTCATACATAGTGTCCCGAACACACTCTGAGAGTAAAAGGAAAAGAAAGAGTACTCTCCATTACTGTGTGCCATTATAGGATTGGACTGTAATGAGCTATTCATCAGCTGGCAGTGACCTCTCCCTGCTGATCACAAACAAAGCCTAGCTTTTTTTCTTCCTTTACTCCAGTAATCTTCATTTTGCTGTAATTCAGATTCAGTGCAGCCTCCTCTCTCCCTGCCTTGTTTCTCCATCTGTTTACTGTCAAGCAGATTAAGATACAAGGCCATCGCTGTGCCACTGTCTTAGCCACTGATCAATAAGGCATGTAATCACACCTTGTCGCTTTATTATTGATACTAACACCAGCCACTAAGACAAAGAATAAACAGATGTGTGAGGCTCCCCTTTTGTTTGTCACTAGCTTCCACGTGCCACGTCCAAATAATAAATTTTCTTGCTCTTTTTATTTCTTATCTAAATGTTTCCCTCTTGCTCTTCTTCTCCATTTCTTCTCTGTTCTGGTGCTTCCTTTTCCCCCGTTGAGCCTGTCCGACCTGCAGCGATTTCCTGAGCCTGGTCCAAGGCATCATGGACCTTCAGGATCTACTGGCCAAGATGACCCTGAAGGTAAGTACAAGGAATGACCTTTTGCACAGAAAACTACCACTGGCAGCTCACCGGACTGTATGAAGACTGACTGGACGTATAAATTACTGCAAAACTAGATTTATTAGTGTCACAAATGTTTGGGAGACAGCTAAAAGAAAAACACTGAATGTTGTCAGACAAGTCAGTGAACATCTGTTAAATAAAAGTATCCAGTCAAAACCTGTCCCAGTTGTACCCTTACAAACAAATAAATAAATAAATGAAAATGAATAAATAACTTCCTTCTCCACTACAGCCAGAGACAGCAGAATCCTTTGATTTTGTTGCTGCTTTCATTGAAGCTTATTGTTCTTTCTCCTCTAAAGCCAGTATCTCATTTTTGTTTAATTTCAACAAGACGTAGCCCAAAAAAAAGTTATTGTTGAGAAACAAAAATAAAATGAACGTGCACCTTAATCTGTCTTTAGAAAATGTGATTACTCTGTCAGTTATTATTCTAAGCGTGGATTGAAGTGGTTTTAGAAGACAAACCCCCCCCCCAAAAAAAAAAAAGATATTAATGTGCATGTAAGAGGGAACAGCAAGCAGACAATGATTTGGTCCCAGAAGGTCCCATATTATTATTATTATTATTATTATTTCATGGTTTTGTTTTTTGCAGTTTGCAATGGCTCACGATTAGAGCAATGAAACAAAGGCACAGTTTTCACTTTGTTGCATGACAAGAGAGGAAAATGTGAAAATGCAAATCACTTGATTATAGAGTAACAGTACTGACAGTAAGGAAGAAGAGTGACAGAAAACGTAACTCAAGGTCCACTTACTCCCTTCTTCTGGAGGTTTTGACTGTATTACACGGTCCTCATCAGCAGTTTGCTCAGTTGTGGCCGTTAAAAGACCTTGAGTTGTGATTTTGTTGTCAAAAGAATATTGTTGTACTTGCGTATCAGTTGAAGAAAGGAGGGAAGGAAGCAGGGAAGAATCAAACATTTTATATTTTGTGAGCTTATGTCGTACTATTTAAATGTGTTTCTGTGGTAACTCCGTCAGGCGTCAGATAAGTGTAATAAAAAGGATAAGATTACCCTCTGAAATGTGCATAATATTTTCGTTCTCACTTTCTTGATTAATCACAGTCTGACTGTGGACTTAAGTTACATGTCACTGGCTGCCATATAAGTAAATGACTGATCAGTAAATTAGTATCTAGGCAGAATAATTATGAATGTGTTACTGACTATTCATAATTATCTTGCCCCAAATACTGACTTTCACTTACTGAAGTCAAGGTAAATGTAGCAATTTATCTCAGTATGAATATTATTGACCTGTCTTCAGTAGCAGCATATTTATTAACATGTGCAGCGGTGGGACAGTAAGCGATACTGCTGTTATATCTTGTTAAAATTTTATGGTTTATTTTCCTGCTACTGTCATTTTAAATGATAAATGTTCGGTAGCACACAGACACACACAGGGGGCAAGTATATTCAGGGTTCACAGAGGTGTCAGGAAATGGCGACTGCATTGTGAGAACAGAGGCTAACAGGCGGTGTGCATTCTGCCCTGGAGCCGTGGGGGAGAGCTTAAACCATTTATAAGACTAAACATCTGCATAACTATGTGTGGGTGTGTGTGATTGACTTTGTGTGTATGTGATTGAGTGTGTGCTTATATGTGCATGAGTGAGTTGCTATCAGGTGGGAGTGAATGAAGCAAGGACATCTCAGCGGGCAGAGTAGCTATAGAATAATTTTCTGTGTAAATAAGGGTGAAATGAAGAACATTACCCTACTGCTGTTTCAACACCTCCGCTTTCACATGAACACACCTCGACCTACTGCCACCTGACCTCATTGCTCATATGAGTCGCAGCATGGAAGATGCAGGCAACTCCAGCCCTAAATGGCATCAGAGAATAGAGGAATTCAGCATGAAGTGAATAATTGCTTGGTCCTGAGAGTGCAATGTGGAGTGTCAAGGCGAGGTGAGATGACAATAAGCTCTGCTGTGTGTGGATTAGCATGGCAGCATCTGAATGTATTATATACCTGTGTATTTCTGAGAAGAAGCACAAGCATGTGTTTATGCCAAAACATGTAGAAATAGCTCAATACCTCTTGAATACCGATACCAGTACAATAATATTATTTTCCCATTTGAAGGGTTGGTTCAGCCCAGTTAAAAAAAAACAACAAACATTTACTCATCTCTCTTTAGTGGTATGTAGCCATATAGATAGTTTTATTTGTGAGGTTGTTTGTTGTTTTTTTTTATTGCTTATATTTTATTTTATTTGATTGTGGTACTCACTGCATTGAATTATGACATTTAGAAAATCAACAGCAACATCTCCTTCTTGAATTAGTGTCCCTGTTACTCTGGATTATCTACAGACTTTTTAAAAGTTAGTTTAAGTACTTTCTAGAAGAAATAGTCCCAATAAAAATGGCTGATGACAAGGCCAGAAGCGCTGCATGGCTACATACTGCAAGACGTAAGTGGGTATTATGGGTGAACTGACCTGTTAATGCTTGTATATAATCACTGTCCAGTGGTTAGGGGTTAGAATAACTCTTGTGGGCATTATCTCAAAAATGAAATTAATGATAAATTGTTTTTGGCGATACTTGGTCTTCACAGCAATCAATTGATGTACGTTTTGCTTTGGATAGATATCTGAATAAATGATGCATAACTGGTTAAATGTTCTCCTCTATTGCTGCTGCAGTGGATTCCCTCATGTGTAAGCCATGCAAGCAGCTTTGAGTCTATCCAGTGTTCTTGGTAATAAGGGGATTGAGGTTCCAGGTTTGATCTGTAAAAATGTTTATTACTGAAAGCTACTTTGATTCTGGCAAGTTGCCCCCAAAGTAGCTCCCTATGCGCTTATAATTGCTAATCCAGGGGGCTGTGCTGACTTTGGGTTGGACTTTGGGTCAAGCTTTTTTGATGATTTATTAAAAACTGAGCTTTATTTGGATAGTTGAAGGCTTGCACAGTTTACTTTGATATTTGTTGTTGGTAGAGGTGTTTCTAAAGTCCCTGCAACAAAGGTGGTGAGTTCAAAGGCAGCATGGTCCATAGTCCGGAAGAACACAATTATCAGAACATATCTGCAGATACACAGTATTTAATATACACTTACTCAAAAATAATTGATACAGTACATCAGTCTAGCGTTGCACTATTAGTGGGTAAAATCCAACTTGAAACTGTGAATTAAAACATCCATGTCGGGACTGCTGATAACCCCTTGTGCAAGTTTTTTAAAACCCACTCAACATGCATAATACCAGAATTTCCCCTTAATGCACTAAAATGCTTCAGATTCTGTGTTTGTTGGGTAGTGTTAGTAAGGCTCAAGATGCTCAGTTAGTGTAAAAATCCCACATTTTCAACCAAGGACAGTCTCTTAATAATCATACATTTCATGACTTTTTTTCAGTGTGCTGCTGTCTGGAGGGAGTTATTCAGAATGTTGGTTTCTCACTTTCCTTCATGGCATTTATATTACAATATTTAGGCTGACTATGGAAGGCTAAAAGTGAAGGATTTCCCTACTTGCTCTAAAACCAAACACATTACCATCACTTACTGTACATTTTAAGATGAATTGGTCTATTAAGTCTTCTAACTTACCATCAGGTTTTGGAGTCTCAGCATGTGTTTGTTTCATTGTTATGGCTAAAGTATCATAATTACATGATGGCAGACATCCCAGATCTGGATCACAAACAAAATCTAATTAATTACTTGTTGGCCCAAGACTGATTGGTTCCCAGAATTTCATGGAAATTCACTCATACATGTTTGACATATCCCTCAAATATGCAGGCAAACAAAAAGGATTAAAGGTAATAAATACACCTTTTCCCTCACCCTCCATTATCTGGACTTTGTCTTATTTAATTATTTCACGCGTGTCTCTTGGCCTCATGTATCAACCATAGGAGATACATGTCTATTAGCCTCTGACTCCTTTGTGCGGTATCACTGTGCCCTTTGATGCTCACATTGTACAGGAAAGGTATTCCTCTGTGGTGCCTCAAGGCAGCCTCCCAGCCTTTGAAATTGCATTTCAAACATTTTGTTTTGGGCTTTGACAGGACACATCTTTACCGCTCACACAGCTCTCCTGCAGCCAGCCGGGACTCCTCTAAATGAAGCAAAAAGCCTCAGTGACATCCAGCATTTTTCTTTTTTACTGAGAAGCCTCTATCATTTCGCAGCGAGTCCTCTCTCTCTGACACTGTGGCCTGGGCAGGTCTCAGAGGAGCAGAGGGGGCAAAAGCAGAGCGGCAGAGCAGCCTTGAGTGTCTTAAGTGGACCTACAGTTTCTGAGTTGACCTACGCTGCTCAGATCAATTGGACCTTTTTGAATTCCCCCACCTTCCCACCTTTCAAGCAGGACTCTGATTGTTTATATCTGGGTCAGACAGTACTTGTATTTTACAGATATGTGAATTTGTAAGACATAGCGTAGCCAGCCAGCTCCTACCCAAACCTGTAGTTGAGCTTTCATGGATACAGTCTATTTTTTACAGAAAAACTCCACAACTCTGTAGATTATTGATCAATACAAACTGGATGGATGCTGATTTTTTTTCAGGAAAATAAAATAAATGCTGTTTGTTATTGATTTACATGATACTATATGTGGTTACTTTAATAGAAACAAACTATTCAATCACACTGAAAAGAATTATCTGTTGCAGTTGAATCAACAATCAGAATCAGAATCAGAATCAGAAATACTTTGTTGATCCAGGGGGGCAAATTTGTTAGGACATGTGTTAGTTCTTGTTCAACAAGATGACAACTTCTCTCCTTTGCTTTGCTTAAAATTTCAACATGAACCATTGGATTGGACGACTCGCTACTACCAACACTACAATGTCCTGTAATTGGTATCAAAACATAACACAAGGATTCATTTAAACTCAGATTAGGCTGATTGTAGTTGCTGATCTTTGTTGAAATTATTAAAGCACCTCCTTCACTGTAAAAATATTTTGTCTGTGAACACATAGCTAATGTTTCTTACAAAACATTCTGTATTTTCCTAGATAAATGAGAATAATATACATACTTTCTATGACACACGGTTGTTAAATCCTGATTTAAAGCAAATCCTGCTTGGTGCACTCCACCCTCTGCGCCCCATCCCTGTGACACTGCCTCTTGACACTTTTGTCAGTCAGAGATGCATCACTTCTGTCGGGAGACAACCGTGGGGAATGTTGAGCATGAAATAAGCTGAAGAAAAAGGGCTGATCAGTGTGTAGGAATAAAAGAGGGTTGAGGCAGGATCGTGGCTGTCAGTCCTGTCTGTCATTTCTCAGTAGATTATAGCCTGAGGTCTGGAGCATGAGCTGAATGATGATCATTTATTATTCTATGTGCCCTTCTAATGAGTGGTTCCCTGCGGAGCAGCTCTCTGTGAAAACCAACCAGGGCACGCCAGAGGGCATGGGGGCGGGGTTAGGGGTTACCCCCGGTGCACACTGAGACTTTTGAATGTAGTTTTGTGACTCTAGTGATTCTGTACTCGTCCTCAGTTGAACTACGCAGAGTCCAGACTGACACAGCTGGAGGGCTGTCACTGCGAGAGGACCTGCAATGCCAACGGCCTGGTCTACCGGGATAAGGAGCTGTGGGTGGAGCCCGAGAACTGCAGGAACTGTGCATGTAAGGTGAGTGTCACCAACATACTTGAAACCACAGAATGCGGGACCAGATTTTAACTATCACACGGTAAAAAATCTCTTTCAAATTTAGTACTTTAATCTGTTTTTGAGCTCTAAAATGACTTTCTTAAATCCTACTTACTGGTCCTCACTGTAGTTGTTAAGAGATATTGGGTACACCAAAAAGGCAAATGACAAAACTAATAATACAAAATAAATAATAAATAATAGAATAACCTTTCAGCATCACAGAATGATGATATGTCAAAGCGTAGCAGGATTTCTGAGGGTAGATTTTTGCTTTATTGGGAAGTCATTCCTCCCCTCTCAACACTTCCTTAACTTGCCTTCCCATCAGACCATCCGTTATTCCCCTGCATCGTCTCTCCCTGCCTCCTTCCCGCCCCCTAATAAGCGCCCCCCTAATAAGCCTCCCTGCCTGCACTCATACATAGGAGCCAGACTTTGAAATTTGTTGAATCAGGCCATCCTGGGCCCTGGGGAATTAGACTTGCTGCATCATTGCACATCAAGCACAGGGTGGAGTTTAGTCGGTCTGATTTCCTCCCGTGGACATGCCATTAACTGATAACCGCGGCGTCCTGGGGGAACCATTTCCGATGACTCATGAAATGAAGAGGCGCTCACAGAGAGAGATATCAGCCCCAAAAATGAAGGCAGTCCTTCAGGGCCTGAATAACTACCTGCTATCAGCAGGCCGTTCAGTTTCCATATTCACCATCCAGTGCTTGCTGATGAATCTGTTATCTGATTGTATGACATTATAATTTATTTTTTTATTCGTAAATATGATGATAGGTTTTAGTTTCAGATTGCATTCCTGGAGGTGGGATTCTGAGCAGTTTTGGGCTAGTTTGAATGGAGTGTTAGCTGTTCAGTATTGGATGAAAGCATGCATCACACTGCATGTGTTATATACCGTATGTTTGCTGTTGGGGTAGAGGATGTTTTTTCCAGTTATAAAAGTTGAAAAATTCCATAAATGCTTGTTCAAAGGTAAATTAAGACATATATGGAAGTAGGATACGTTTTCAGTGTGGATTTTTTGGGCAGTGCCACAGGTAAAAGCTGTATGTTCACTGTGAATGTTTTTGATGGAAAAAAAAACTAAATAATATTAATAATAAGAATTTTCTTACAGAATGGCGTGGTGGAGTGTCGCAGGATTTTCTGTCCTCCGGCAAACTGCTCAGAGGACTCGCTACCTGTACACGTGGATGGGACTTGCTGCAAGAAATGCAGACGTAAGTATCAGCAGCACACATTTAGATCATGCAGGAAGCAAAAGAAATGTTCACAACCAAACCTGTGAAACTCCGCTCTGCAAAAATACCTTTCACACCACAAAATAGGCACAGCGCAAATTAACTGTTAATTTACAAGCAGTATAAATAGATGTAGATTTATAAATATATATAAAAAATAAATAATCTTTATCTCTAATAATTTTCCTCATTCTAAGCCATGGCCTCTACCATTAGTCAGTGCCACTACTTTGGTGCATATTTTCTCTATAAACCAGCATAAAGCTAAGAATTATGCCATCTCTCAACAGCTGCTTTCTTAAAAATCTATTATTCTACTAATACTATAATACTTACTTACAGCACTGGTTTTAACAGTACATGATAATCCAGAAACAATAAATGAAGTTGTAATTTTTTCACACAACATTACCAATGGCTTAAACTAGCTTGCACACCACAGCTGTTAAAATCTGCTAGTTTTCATTTCAGCAAACAAATCTGACATCAAACAACATCGGCAAGAAATGAAAAACCAGTTTGTTTGTTTTTTTGTTTTTTTTTTTGTGTGAAATCAAAGTCCCATTGTCTCAAAAAATCTGATTTTGCGGGGTATGTCTGCTAAGATTTGTAAATTGCAACTTTATGGAAAAGCTTGATGGTCATAGCAACAGTAACTAAGAGGGGCAAAGCTTAGTGAATGCTCAATGGCCAGCTTGTAATAGTAAAATAGTGTAAGAGTAGACTTTAACATTGCAGCAGTAAAATATTGCCATGCCACTTTCTGTTCTTCGAGAGAGGAGTCATTATTCGCACAACCACAAATATTAGCTTGTCAGAAAAACATAAACATTGATTGTTATTTCGCATTTACCAATGCTATCATTTTTGACAGTCCTAAACACATGTGCAGCTTGTTTGCATTACAGTACATCGTGCATTTGAGGTAAAACAACCAGAAGCACTGCAGATACACACAAGAGGACTGTTGTTTGTAGCTGATGTTCTGCTGGCACAATGAAACCAGAGCAAACTATCTACAAGACCAAAGATCACAGTCGCCTGGTTTTCATGGAAGCTGAAATGGAAGCACTATTTCTAGTATAAAGCACACAGGGGTCTGGTAACTGCTCACGGACCCACGGACAACTGTGTCTGTCTTGCTATACTGCAAAAACAGTAAATCCCTGAAGTATAGTTAATCTTTGAATAATTCCATCCCTCCTCTGCCTCCCCCCATCCTCCCGCTCACTTCGTCTTCCTCCTCTTCCTCCCCTGTGAACATCAGAGGTCTGGCACAGGAGAACAAGGGAGCAGCGCTCCAGTGCTGCGACTGAGCGCTCCACAGTCCTGCACCCTGGAGAGGAGAAAAGCAGGACTTCATATCATATGCTTCATTTTCTATTTCTGCTATCGCCAGAGGAATATGCAGAAGGGTCTCCTCTGTTGTATTCTTAATGCGCTGTTACACTTCCTCTCCGCTTATGCACACTAGCCAAGAACAACTTTGTTTCTTACAGAATTAAGTATGCAGAAATTCAGGCTGGAAACTTTTTTTTTCCCTCCACAGCCAATCTCGGAAGCAAATTTCTCTATTGTTGACTGTACCACAGGAGCTGATATTAGTTGAAGAATTACTCTGTTTGTGGTATTTCATAGTTACTGTACCTAATGAATTGTTATTGATGCAAGAATGTTCTATTTTTCTACCCACAGCAAAATGTACCTACATAGGGCAGACCTTTCCTGAAGGCCAGCGCTTTTTATCCAGGAGCTGCAGGGAATGCAAGGTAACAGTTATCATTACGGTGTACAATTCTTTTTCCAGCATTTAGCCTCTAGTCTGCAATTAGATCACCATTCAGCACTTCTCCTTCAGCATAAACGTGTAATGATTGTGTGTGGTGGACTGCTCAGTGTGTTATTCAATTAGCGAGCAGGCCTTATTAGTTTTCCCTCCATCCCCCAATCTGTTCAATCTGCCTTTTTTTCTTCTCTGTAATGGTAAGATAGCCAGGTAATTAGAATAACGTATGAACACAGAAACACAAAGGCCTGATTTGAATTGGAGCTTCATCACTGCGTGGATTATAATTAAAGTCATTATTCCAGTTCAGCATAGAACAGAGGTGAGCTTTCTTCACTGAGAAGACGTTTATCTTTAAAGACAATATTTTAAGGAGAAAATTTGCGTTTTATGCATGTAATTGCTTACAAAGAGCCACACAGTGGATCCCTGGACTCATTATTAGCCCCCAGACACCTCGAAACATCGTTATATAGTTTGTAGGCTTTGTTTTAAGCAATTACAGCCATCTTTTACTCCTGGATGTGAATGCTGCTAAATGACCAATTTGTAGACAAAATATTCTTAGAAGGGCCCCGAAATCTCTCTCTGTCAGCATTTTCGGTAGTATGTGTGTCTAGGTATGTAAACTGTGTATTTGTACATGGTGGAATTAAAAGAATGTCTCTGGCACTCTGTAATCTTCCTTCTTCAGACTATCTCTCCGTCCTCTCTCCATCACAACAGGAGAGCTATGAATTTGACATATGGAGATAATAAGTAAAAGGAGAGAAAGAGAGAGAGAGAGGGTCACATTAGGCTACTTATGGAAGATGTGTGAAGTAAAACATTTTGACATGTCATAGCAGGTGTATGAACCATTGCTGCATTCCAATTAGGGGAGGTCCTGCTATTGTGCGTGCTGGTTCACTGCCACTGTTACTGGGACACTTAATGGAACTGAGCCGTTGTTAGTGTTATTACATGCACCTGTGTTTTCCCTGCTGTGACAAGTCAAAATGTCTGCTGTGCACAGTAGTCCATTTCAGCCTCCTGCATGAAAGTCAGATGGACTACACACCTAGCCACTACTCCAACCTCCATATCCTTACACAGTACTTCCTGCACTGGTACTGGACATGCAATGCATTTAATAATAATAAAATAATGTTGATTCCAAAGGACACTGGAATGAGTGAGTAATGTATGGTCAGCAAAACTGACTTTTGCTAATTTTTTTCTTATGCACAACATATTACAGCCAAAGTTGCAAAACAATTGATGACTCCAAAGTTTTGTAACTGTTTATATCACCTCCAAATAAATTATTTAGATTTGTTAAAAATAGGACTTAAACCTGTCTGACCTCTTGTGTTGCTTGTACTAATAGACTCCAGGGTTTAGCTGTGTCTCAGAGTTGCTGCATCCCCACATCCCCCATCTCAAAAACAACACTAATCACTAAATTGTTGACATAAATGATAGGAATGTAATGAAAATTGGACCCAGGTTGAAATTAAAACTGTATTTTCATTTATGGTGAGGGTGGCTTCTGAGGCTCTTCGAGTCACCTGAATGTGTTAACAGGCTGATTTCATCAAGTAACAGCAATTAAGTGGCTGGCTGGCTGCTGGGCACATTGCAACATACTAGGGGAATATGGGAGACTCACTGGGGGTGTTACTCTCAAAATGAAACCATCCCTTGTGTACAGATGTGGAATAGCATCTCATCAAGGTTACAGTATTTTTCTCCACTGCAGAGTGCCTTTGGTATGATATAGCTGGTGTTTTGTGAAAAATAATGTCAAAAATAAACATACCCCTAACACAACTGATGGGTAAAGAGAAGTTACAGATGCTGGAAATTGATTCTTTTAAGTTGTAGACTTCTACAGATCTGTCTCTGGTGTTCTAGTCAGTTAATTTTCCCACAACCTCTGCTGTTGCCTCTCAGATATTCAGTCTGAATGAAAAGCTGCAGTGAATCTGAGATGATGAGGAAATGTGTTGGTTAGTCTGTTTTTACACAGTTGTCAGTTGCCTCTTTAAGAAAACTATCAGTGATTCTTTGAACCTGGTAGTAATGACTAGAATCCAAATTTAGAAAGGGGTTGGCTGCATACAAAAACTCAGTAAAACAAGTTGTTCTATTTTTTGGGAACTGCAAAGATAATCTTGCTGAAATGAAAGAAAAATAAATCAGTTGGGTTGGTGTACCACCATCACATTATGCCTGTGTTTGCCCATCTTGCTGAGTTTTCCTTCGCACATGGTGTTAATGATCTGAATAATGAAAAATTATGCTAAAGCTGATCACAGAAAATGAATTATTAGGCAAAAAATATGTGCTTCTTAAAAAATGACTTGTTGTTTTTTTTAATTTGATGTAATTGTAAATGGAATATATAATTCAATTTTGCAATCTGAATACATATCATAGACTAAATTGGTACTGTTGGGTCTCTGTAAATAATGTTTTAAAGAGTTCGGTCTAGACCTACTCTATTTGAAAAGTGTCCTGAGATAACTTCTGTTATGAATTGGCGCTATACAAATAAAATTGAATTGAATTGAATTAAAACTGCCAAACATTTGTTAATTTAGCAGACACAGAGCGACATTAGTGCAATATTTATTTCAACTAACTAACTGACTCTAACTTAATCTGTTTGCTGGATAGGTAGTAGACAGTGGATTTATCAAAGCTTTTTCATCAAAAAGAAAACTAGAAACTAGAAACAGCGCTGATAAGAGTGGACTTCACAGTCATTCAAACTGGATTAGCTTTCACATTTGAGCCACTGTTAATGTATGTGCAGCTCTAATAGTTCGAATAAAAGACAGATTCATTAATGATGAAAATACTAGTTGTCTTTAGAAAATGATGTGACTGCTAAAAGGCTCACAGTGCAAAGCGGCTGTACCATTAAAAGATGACATGAGGAAAGAGTTAATGTGGTTCCTAGAAAAGCACGACATTGAAGGAAGTTGTGAAGGAGAAATCTCAGGGATTTAAGTCAATACTTCAGACCTTGAGAGGCATCGCGGGGACCACCAGAGCTTTGACATACCAGCCAGTCTGCTGCTGTGTGTCTGCTATTTGTTTTGAAGGCCCAGGGGAAGGTGACACCGAGTTCTATCTTCCCTTGTTTCCCTTCTTTGGTGGCTCATATCTACACCTTACCTACTATCTGTATTCATGCCCTTCTTGTGAGCATCATGTACTGCCTTTACATTCCACAATCTCTGTTGTCATGGCAGCCTCATTCAGTCAGGAGTATCTTAAAATATCCTGTTTTTTAACATCTGAAAACATCCTTTTACCTGTTGGTGTGGTTTAATACATTTCAATAGCCGTGTAACTTTCACCTTTTGCTGTCTTCAAATTATAAGGCTTAGACACAGGCCTTTGTATGAGCTCATAGAACTAATATTTATTATCCTAAAAAAATGACAAAGATTACATTTGGTTTGATTTGCAGAGTTATAAAACTTTTCGATATTTATATATTTCAAGCATTTTCTATTTTCAATTAAAACACTTCAAATAATGATTTTTCTCAAGAAAAAAAAACAACTGCTTTCAGAGACAGGCCATTATGGCCAGTATGTCTAACTGTAACATTATTTAGTAAAACAAAAAACAAACAAACAACTTACTGTAGTGTTGGTATGTTGTTTTCTTACCTCCATTGGGGATGTCCCAATAACTAGTCCAATCCAAAGCAAATATTTACAATTATGATTCTGGCACATTAAAGGTCCAGTCTGTAACATTTAGGAGGATCTATTGGCATGAATGGAAAATCTGCATTGCTACATGCCTCTAAATCCTCCTTTTTAAAATAACAACTGTACTCTTCTTAATCTGACACACCTTATTTTTCACGAACAATTTCATAGAAATACTGGAGGTAAAATATTACGTTTATAAGCTTGAATGAATATAAAGGGTTGACCTATTTTATTTTGGAGTTATTGGGACTACAGAAACAGTAGTTCCATATGGAACATTCTTTTTAGATTTATTAAACATCAGATATATTTCTTTTTCATATCTTTACCAGTTCAAAGGGTGAAACGTGCATGCAATTGTATGAATGTGCATGTGTCCAATGTACACACCAAAAACAACTAATATGAATGTTGGCGGATTAGGTTGCATCATATAAACTATATATATATAAAGGTTGGAGAAGTGGGCTTGTGACTAGAAGGTTGCTGGTGGTGTAATTCTTTTGGTGACGATAGTCTCATTTAATGCACAGACCTTCACACATTTGACTGAAAGCACTAAAATTATAATGTTTTGCCTCTGTCCTGTCACTTCAGAACGGCCTGATGGTGAAAGTCACAGAAACTTGTCCAGAGCTCAACTGCACCGTCAGTGAACAGATCTTACCAGACGGCAGATGCTGCAATGTTTGCAGAGGTATGTCTTCCTTCTTATGCACTCTTCTCAGTTGCATGAATCACTCTTTCTTTGGACTTGCACGCACCAATCCCCTGCCACTGCGAGAAGTAAACACAGCCAGTCTGCTGGATGCTGATTCAGATTGTACCACTGCAATAACTCTGTTTCTCTCCCTTTCCACCCGGGATGAATACTTCTTGGCTGGGATACCTATCAGAGCAGATTGGTCTGTCTGCTATAGAGCACCTGCTATGCCAATTTGCCTGTGCCCCGCTGCTTTGGCAGGGAGGTACTACAGGGTAAATAGCCACCGGTAATTCAGTAAATACATTGAATAAACAAACTGTAGGAGGCTGTCAGCTATAGAGCTATAATGAAAGAAACCCAGGGCAGGTTCTGAGCAAAGGAAATTGCGCTCTCGTTTAGGCAAGATAAGCAGCATGGCTTAGACACACTGTATTCAGAGGAGAGGAAGATGAAAAGAAGGTAAAAGCCAAGGCAAGGAAAATAGAGAAAAGGGAAGGGGAGAAAGTAGATGGGAGAGGAAAGGTTAAGAGTGTAAAGGAGACTAAGGCAAGGAGGGGAGAAGGAGGAGGGAGGAAACATTATGTCTTAGACCTGCTATGTTGAAAAAAAAAGGAAATGGAAAGCACATGAGAGGAGAGGAAGATAAAAGATATAGAGAGGATAAGTCTAGACTTTATATGCTGAGGGAAGAGTAAAGGAAAAGAGAAGGATGAGGACAGAAGGCATAGATAGGAATAAAGGAAGAATGAGGAACAATGGGACATATTGTGATGGAAAGAGAAGAAAGGAATGAAGAGATGAGGGAGAGAATTGTACGTGATAAGGGGGTTTATATAGTACAGCTAACAATTCAAGATTAGAGTAATAGCACCTCTTCACTAAACCTCTTTCTTTCTCCCTCTCACACACCCACCCACACCCACTGTCACCAAAACTTAGAACCGGTCATTATTTCCAAACCTTCTCCAGACTTCCACACTGTGTGAGTCAGTACTTTACCACCACTCGGAAATTTACTTGTGCTTCACTGTTAAGTCCTCAAAGCCACACTGGCTCTGTTAAAATGGGTAATTACACAATTGTCACAGAGAGTTCATACTCTTTAAAAAGAGTATTTCTACAGCAAGGGACCTGTTTATGTGTATGTGGCAAAACAAAAATCCAGCAAATCCCAAACACAAAGTGTGGTGTTTGTGGTCGGAGAACTGTACTCTCCCACCACAGTACTTGTGTTTGTTATTCCTTGTGTAGTCAGGCCTTTACATCTATACAGCGTTCTGTGGGGTGCTGCTGTAGATGGCGGAGGGGGTGAGAGGAAGAATAATGCAGACACAGCTCTTTCCTCAGTAATGGCTCCCCAGGCTCCCTGCCTCTCAGGGCTTTTATGTGCAGCCAGTCTGTCTTTCATTACAGGACATGATGGGCTACATCAGCTCATACTTACTGAGCAGAAGACAATCATCTCTCTGTCTGTCTGCTTCCTTATGTGTCAGACTGAGTCTCAGTTCATCTGTCTATCTGTCATGTCACATTTCTGTACACGTGCAGGATCTCAGTCTGGTTCACATTTGACAAAAGATCAGCACTGTAGGCAGTACATAAGTTCCTGTCCACCATCACAAACAGCCAGGGTTTCAATCCCAGTAGCAGGGCTACTGCATGTATGCGTCTTTCCATTAGACGCAATTGGTCACATTCACAGGTTCACAGTGAGGGATCATGACCGGTCAGTGCACTAGTGACTCCTGCGCTGCAGACTTCCACTGAAGAAAACACTTACTCCCTGTGACCTTGAAATGTGGCACCGGCGATAGCCGTGGCCGGAGGCATTATGTTTCCAGGCTGTCTGTCTGTATCTCAGAAACGCCTAGGGGGAATTTCTTTATATTTGGACTCAAGGATGAACAGATTAAATTTTTGTGGTCAAGGGTCAAGGTCATTGTGACTCACAAAACACATGTTTGGCCATAACTCAATAATTGACAACCATATTTCACAATTGGTCGGACAATGAATTGGCGACACTTTTGCCTAAAGGTAAAAAATGAGCTTGACAAACATGATTTTGGTCATAACACAAGAATTGATGCAGTAATTAGGACATCAATGGGATACAACAATCAGGGATAACATTTATCCCAAATAGTCACAGTTCAACTTTACTGTGACATGATGTCCTAGAAAAGCCATTACTCAATGGCTCAGGAACACAAGGGGAGATTGTGACCATATTTCACGGTGACCTCAAAATAGTTTTTAGCCATAATTTAAGAATAAATTGAGTGATTCCAAATTTCACACATGTTGACCAGGACATAAACAATAACTACCACAGCACAGACATTCATCTTTCCATCTCATCCATTCTGCCTTTCACGAATCACATGACTGCAAACAACATGTATAACAAATTGTGATCCTATGAGTGTGTGAGTGCGTTTCACATACATCTCATAGAGAGGCTTTTCATCTTTAAAAGAAGGAAACAAGAGCACCACATTTTGTCTATAAAAATTTGTATGTAAAGGCTGTCTTTTCACTTGTTCTGTGAAACATCACGATGAAGATCCTGTGTTGAAATATATTGTTTAAGTAGAGACTCTTCTTCTAGGTCAGTTAGTGTTGCAGTCATTTTTCACATTTGGTTGTTATGCTACCTGAGCCCCTATGTTACTGTTGAAGTAGCAATAAAACCTTATAGTCTACCTACACAGCCACACTCTTTGCTGAATGTAGGAAGTCGCTCTACTACCATCGGTTCCTTCAGCACACACGCACCACAGGTCAGGTTATCAACATCGATTTATTGACTCCTCAGCCGCACACACTGTCAATACAAAACACTCAGCTTTACAGCTCTTCTGAGGCTTCTCCAGCCCTCTTCCAAAATCTGTGACAGTTCACACCAGACGTCCTTTCTGGTTTGTGTGTGGCAGCCAACTCAGGTCCAGCACACTACTGCATTAAGAGAGGAGAGAATGATTACTCAATGAGTACAAGCTGAGATAATCAACTCACCTGGCACTGCTCTCACAAGCCATCCCCACACCTCTCTCTCTCCTGCAGCTGAGTGTAAACCACACCCACCTCCACACTGAAACATCACCAGAAAACACCATAGGAACATACTGTTACAGCGCAGCACAGTTGTGACTCTTTGACTCTATTGGCTGGATGAATGAAGTTCCTCTGAGATGTTCCTACATGAGCAGAATGTTTTATGTATGTGAACTTTTTGTATTGTGTATGTGTGCACATTCCTTCATGAAAGCCAAAACTTTTATGATCGCACCAAACTCAATGCAGTCGTAAACTGTATACATCAGGCTTGACTGTCATCCACAGTAGTGGGCAACAGGAACAAAGTTGCTCATTTGTGCATTTGTCTGCTTTTATCTGCGTACAATGTGTGTGTGTCTGTATACAGCTTTTTACTGCCTTGAGAGAGAACATTTTAAGACCAAAGTAAATCAAGGCTTTCTTTGTCCCTCTCTTTCAGGTTATGACTTTTGCGCAGAGGGACTCATTTGTGGAGAAAACTCTGAGTGTAAAAACCGGAATACTAAAGCAGAGTGTGAATGCAAGAGCGGCTATGCCTCCATCCACGGGGATTCAACTTACTGTGAAGGTAGGACTATATAATTTACCTAGCTCAGGCTGAGCTGTGGCTCATGTGACTGGCTCATAATATCTATTAGCTGAGGATGTTGAAAGCAGTATGGATGGCAGTGTGTCAGTGTTTAATTCATTGTTCTCTTTTAAGAGCGTGTTTATGTCAGGCTGGGGGCCAAAGACTGATATTAATGGCCTGATATTAACCCACTGAATGTATGATATGATGACAAAAGTGTATAAGGGCAACAATGATTGTTCTGAAAAAGCACTTTGGTCAGTTGTGAATAAGGACCTGAAGTGAGAATGAGAAAGGAGCTAGATCTGTGAAACACTGTTGATTTGACTTAGTGCTGAAGGTTGGTAAGGGTTAAGTTTGAGGTTCAATTTAGGCAACTTATACAGTATCAGTAAAGGACCCTTGAACCTTTGGGTAAATAAAATATCACAAAATCCATTTATGATATTTTTACTTTACTAGATTCACTTGTTTTAAGTTGCTTTGAACAACAGAGTCTGCCAAATAAATGTGATGTAATATCAGAACTTCAGAGACAGATGCTGAAAAGAATCACATACAAGAGCTGTGTTGCTTGAAAATAAAACCCAGAAGACAAACAATTAGGAAACATGGAAACTCTCAAATGATAATGTTTCAGTCAGCCAACTTACGTTTGAAATGTTTATTAAAGCAGTATAGCATATTTAGATTTTGGCGTCTAGGCTCTGACCTCATCACTCCCCGCATATATGTTTACATAGAGATATTGGGGAGTGATGCGCAAATACCTTTAACCCACAGTCGGAGCCTACAGGTGGATGCTGGGGTGGTGGTGGGGCTTACAGCGCAGCAGGCAGCAATAGCTTACCGAGCAGCAATAGCTTACAGAGTAGCAGCAGCAATATGGATGCAGGGTAACAGCGGCATTGACAGAGCAGAGGGAGACCTGGGAAATTGTGCAGTTTAAATAGACCGCCAGATTGGAAGGGAGCGCTTGGTTAGTGATTATGGAATAAGGCATGTCATGTGTGTAATCAGCGCAGCTCGAGTTGACTGCCTGAACTAGCTCTCAGGATTCGCTCCATTATTGTTTTTTTGCATTCAAATTGCTTCTGTTTGGCATAAGACTAAATTACTTGATGTCCACAGTGATGAATTACCTTTTTGAAAAAGGTCTTCCAATTGACTTTTGAAGAATCAGAAAATGAACTAAAACCAAAGTGCTGCAAGGTACAAAGTCTGTTTTTATACTCATGGCATGATTTTAAGAAAATGTTTATTATTATTTATATTCAGTGGACTGGAACAAGCAAAGTTCCTTTCAGGTTGTTGTGACTCATTTTCTCATGCTCAATTTGTTTGCTTAAGGGACCAGTGCGTTGGATTTAGTGGCATCTAGCTGTGAAGTTGCTGACTGAAAGTAACTGAACACCACTCACATCTGGGAATGAGAATGGGCCATGAAGTGTGTAGGACAAACTACGGTGGCTGCAAAAAACACTACACCCATACAAAAAGTGCAAAAGGACCTATCTACAGCCAGTGTTTAGTTTGTCTGTTCTGGGTCACTTTCGAAAAATGGCAGTTCAACATGGCGGACTCCATGAAAGGCAACCGTGGCGTCTGTAGATAAAACGGCTCATTCTAAGGTAGTTAATTGCCAAAAGATCATCCTAAATGTTACACACTGAACTTTTGAATCAAACTGTTGGTAATATTTAAACTTAACTTGCAGTAGAAAAGCTCCTGTTATGAACCCAGGTCTGTAGAGTGGAGAATGTTTGACCTGTATACTCTTTTTGAAGCACTATTTTAATCTTAACCTACATTACCTATTGTTTCCAGTAGTGTCTGCTTCACTTCTCCTGGAAAACATGTAATCTGAGTTTCGAGACATATGATCTGAGTTTTCTATTTCGCAGATTTCAGGGGATCCTACTCTCTCTGAAAAAGTCAGTCATCCCTAAGAGTGTAAGGATGTCCAGTATGGCTGAGTAAAAGCCCCAGTCTGTGGGTGTTGGGGCCCCGGAGTACTTATGATGGAGCTAATGGCCTTATTTGATTAAGAGGCTTGGGAGCGGCGGTCTGCGGATTGAAGGATTTGCTTGATGCTCAGTGCAGTTGTCTTTGGGTCGGAGCCACAGCAGACTGAAGAGCTTGGTAGCCACAAGCCCTCCAGTCTGTCTGCTTCTGTTTGAGCTGCATGGTAAAGAGGTTTACCCAGAGCTCCACTCCAATCCACGAAAGTCCCTTACCATATGAGTGAAGGCTGGGAAATGCTGATTGTTAGATCAACTATGTAAATTGTCGAGCCACGGCTCTATTGGCTATGAGGGCATTATCCATGTTTGGGGCTTGCTCCCTAAAGGCAGCTCAAACTTCTATTGTAAATGGATTATCTGGAATCCTGCTGTACAGTATGGTGATATTTGACATGACTTCACACTCACCTCCAACTTAAATTGGCTTAGTATAATATGTTTTACACAACAGACTGGGGTAATCTTTTTATTTTATTTTTTTTTATTTGCATTGTATACAAAGCCCTGCAGTCTGATGGGATGTCACTGATATCCTAATAGATGTTTTACAAAACAAATTAATTTCTCTGAGATTGTGTCTCTAAGCTGTCATTAAATGTGACCATTATATCCTCATTAATGTTTTAATGTGCAGCTGAATGGCAGATGAGGTTATTTACTTGTAATCAGAGGGCTGTTTGATGAGGGACCATAGGATTTAAACAGAGCCCAGCTTGAGCTTTCTGTATTGCATTCAGTCACCTGGTGCAATAATTATTCTCTCCCTCTTTCTTTAGCTGAATACCTAATTATTCTCAAAGGAATATTTAGCTGGGATATTGTCAAAACTTTGTACAAGTGCACAATGTTGTGAAAGGTTTCATTGATCTTTTTCTTCCCATTAAAACACAAATTGGACTTTTGTCCACCCTCAATATATTTTTGGAGTGTATTTTAGATATTGTAGCCTGTAATTCTTTGAAACCAAGGCTAATTTGCTTACAGTTGTCTTAGCTAAGCAGATGATAAATTTTTATTGTTTGTATATCTATTTACGATGAAGAGGTTTTGACTTTTGGCACCACATTTCCTATTATTCTTGGTGTAATGCAAACAGCAAGTGTAATGTTGCTTTTTGAGCAACAAATCAGCAGCAGATCAGGTACGATCTTTTCCCTAACATATCCAAGTAGGGTTGTTTTAGTGCCTTAACCTGACCAAAGTGCAACTGTTTCACAACATTAACCATGCAAGCTTTATTTTGAAAGTCTAAGTGGACATTACATACATTGCTGACTTGGAGCTAAATGTGGAGCCCTGTTCATCCAGAAATGGCCCTGGCGCAGTACCTACAGCATGATAGTTTGCAGCGTAGGGCCAATGACCAAGCAACTGTATTTGACAGGTTGGGAGTAAGAACATGTTGGTGTATGATATCTGTGTGTTCGAGTCTGACTGATTTATGACAATGAGAAGGAGGGGTGGAGTTTTAGATGAAAAATGTTTTTCTCTGGTGCTAAAAGTCACTGAAGCAGCAGCATGTATCTGCCTGCTGCAACATGTATGATGCAGTCCTGGTTTCTACAACGAGCAACAGACTGTGGTGAATATGTTCTGCCTTATCTCAGGGAAAGCAGAAATGTGTCTGCATATGCAGAATATTCACACATGTAGAAACACAAACATTGGCACACACTAATGATGGTCAGTGCCTCAATAGCCGGCCCACTAAGGCCTGTGTGTTTATTTGCTCCATTAAAGATGTATTACTGCATATGGGCTGCATCTTTCTAGAGTAAAAGCAGGGGTGGAAAGAGCACTTGGATATGCGACTCAAGTAAAAGTTCTGTTACATTAAAGACATTTTACTCAAGTAAAGGTATTAGGTGTTAAAATGCATTACATTTTTGAGGGGAAGGTAAGGGGGGGGGGGTTGAAGGAAACAAATGTTTGATCATATATGTTATACATATAAAATAACATCATGATGCTATAAAATTAATTATATTAAATGTCAACACATACAAACAACATCAGAAACATGAGCCCTGATGATCAAACCAAGAATAAAATCTATTTTTATAGACTTTGCAGCCTGTGCAAACAACTGATTTACTGACGACAGATCAATTGTAAATAAACAGACTTCATCATTGTATCCTTTTTAGAAATAACCAGGAACAGAGAACAAAACTCAGACTCTTAAACTAAAATCTAAAATGACTTGCAATAGATAAAAAAGCCTGGACACTTCCGGCGGGTAGAGTATGCATTATGAAGCCACATAAACTAAATAGCCTGAATGCATTGTTGTGGATTTTTTTTATTGCTTTGTACACTCGGCCAGTGAACATACATATTTCACGTGCATTCTCCAAAATGTCAGTGTCACCTCTCTGGACATGAAGCTCTCTGGACTCAAGAAGCTTCTTCTCTGCTGCTCACAATTTATAAGGACTTTTGTATGTGACTTTTGTTTTTAATCTGTAACGGATGCATCTTGAAATGTAGCAAAATAATAAAAAGTACTTAAAAGTAACGATTGTTAAAAGTACAACAAAAAACCAATGCCTTTCATAGATTAATGACCGTAAATGTAATCTGTTACTTCCAGCCTTTGATTTAAGAGATGAGACCAACTGAAGGCATCACTCTGAACAGTGGATGATAGCTGCTCCTCCACTCTCTTACATGGGAAAGTGCTTACTAATCCTAGAAGAAGCCTGGGAGAAGGCAGTGGTTGCTATCGATTGGTCTTGTCAACACTTGAACTCGAAGGCTACAACAGGGCTTACTGTCAGCCTTCTGCTGCTGGCTCTGCCTTAGCAACAACATGTACACATAAAGGCGATAGATAAGGTTTCAGTTGTAAGGGAGTCCACATGAAATGACGTGTATATAAAATATACACACATTACCTAGCTGTGCTCCACCTTCCAACTTTCATTGTTTACTGTGTATATTTGTATCCAAAGCCCATCTATTAGAATGTAG